ACTAAGGATCATTTCTAGAAAAACAATAAAACTTTCATAATCTCAACATACGTCATTGTGACTCCACATGAACACAAATGTCCATTCATAAATACTTTCTCACTGGGTTATTAACCAACCCTGGATATTAGCATAATCCGATGTTCTGCTGTAAGTCTGCTGTGGTTTGGGGCCACTGGGAAACCTGCAGCTGAAATCCTGTTTCCAGCACAAGACAGAAACTTAAATCTCTGTTTAGCAACACAACAGCTTTGCAGAAAAGAACAAACTTTATTTCTTGTCACATATTTGTACATCTTTGTAGACAGTGTTATCTGGACAACATCAGACTGACTCACTAAAAAAGGTAGGGTTTGAAGTTTTTTTTCCTTTACTTTTAAGTAGCTTATTTGTTGTAAAGCACCACAGTTGATGGTCAAGACCCTGAACAATCAGATTTAGGCCACATGAATGGAGGAAAATGAATTCAAGTGAATGTAAAGTCCTTGTTAATCTAGAATAGCCTATTCTAGTGTGAGTGGTGAGGCTAGGCGTCATTGGATGTGCTTTAAGCCCGGTTGTGTCTCTGTCTAGTTGTGTCCTTTAAATGACATTTAGAAGGTAGAGCACAGTGCTGACACCGTGGCGTTCCCTGGGGCAGCCGCTTGATCTGCAATTCATTTATGTCTCAGATGCAGGTTTGGCTTTCAAAGCTAAGATAAATTTCACAAAGAAATATCTCACTCTGCCAATCTACAGCCTTGTTAGATATGTCTAAATTTAAATTAATGTTATTATCATCATGTTTTTGGCTTGTTAAATTGAATTAGATCTTTTTATTACACTTTTCCTTTTGTTCTAGATTTGGTTTGTTCACATGTAGTTATGTACATATCAAATAAATGCATATTTTAGTACTTTAAGTTACTTTTTGTTAAAAGGTTAGACAAAGTTAATTCTTTACCTAAATGAGATCCTTATCTTCCTTTCATATCTCTTTCTTTAGCCTTGATTTGTCAAGAAAGAAATTGTATTTCCTTAAAACAATTATAGCCTCAAAAAGTTTATGTTAAAGCTCTTTTTAAACCTTTAAACCTGTGTAAACTTTAGGGCTGACGCCATAAGTTATTTTAGTATTTATTTAATTCAGGGATTATTTTTCGATAACCAATTAAACAAAAATGAGATTTTGTTTTAGTAAAGCACCTTAGCAAGTAAAAAAAACAAAAAAACATTTATTGCAGTTTCCAAAATGCATTGCAAATGACAAACACCTAAAAACAAAGTTCAAGGATTAGAAATGCCACCCAAGGAGTTCTCGGATGGAGCATATTTACTGACAAAGAAGGTTTTCATCCTAAATTTAAAATACTTTCTACAGTTTTGACTAAACTACTGATCAAAGTGAGTTTCCCTTGGTGCAAATGGCATATATTAGAATCAGTTTACTACAGTTAATAATCATTTGATTTTAAATTAGTTGAATTTCAGTAATTGATTCATTACTATTATTCATTCAGCCCTGTTTTACAGAAAATCAAATAAATATCTGCACCTAAAATTAAGGTAAAAAGCCTGTGCACCACCAATAAATCTTCTTTATTTGTGAACACACTGAGGGATAAAGAAGAGCAGATAAAGTGTTTCTAGTCAGAATAACTATCTGAAAAACATCAGAATAAAAGCAGCATGAGTGAATGCTAGTTGTTTGAGTTTTACAATCCCTTAATTTATTCATTAGATAGTTTATCTGGGCAGATTGAAAATACCTGGGAAACCACTCCAACCAAGATTTTTGAGGAAATATTAAAGTTATCCAATTGTTGAAATTATAACAGTTTTAATGATCATTAAAATAACTATAAACTTATTTTAAATTTAAGACTGCTTTAAAAAGTCCACTTCTGTTTTTCAACCTTTCACACTAGCCAGGGATTGAGTATTCTGTTTAAATAGACAAAAATGCCACAAAATGCACCTTCTGCAGTTTATAAAATACCTGCCTTAAACAAACAAACAAACAAACAAACAAACAAAAAACTCACTTTCAAAAATGTGTCTTTAACAGTTGAGATCATATTTCTCTTATGCTGACCTCCACCAGAAATAACAGGGGAGACTTGAGAGGTATAAACCGAATATTAAAGCTACTTGGGCTCCTGCAAAATACAACAAAAGGAGTAAAAAAAAGAAAGTTAGAAAAAAAGGTCCAAACAACCCGAATAACGTGTTGGTTGTGATTCAATGATTTTTAATGCAATTTTAAGAGCTTTAGCCTGAAAGTGTTGGTGCTGCCCTCATGTGGCCACATAAAATCCCTTCAGGAATAGGATAAAGTAAAAAAGTATAAGAATAACATTCACAGATAAAAATGTATTTTTAATATATATATAAAAATTAAAGTTTTTGAATTTCCTTAATATGGTACAATAAATGAATTCTTATATTAAATTGAGAAAGCTTGAAATAAAACAGTGACAATTTGGTAAATTAAACACTCACCTCTCATAGAAAAGTGGTAAATTATTTACTGTTATTGTTTAAAATAAATTTAGCATGAGGATCTTCAAAGTTTTGATACCAGAATCAGATCGAAAAACAGAACATAATTATCAAACACTAAAAATATACAAAACAGACAAAAACATTTTGCAAGTTGTTAATTCATTTACGCAGGTTTATTTTCTGAATATGCTTGTTTGTCTGATCACACTCATTATGACAGCCTACAACATATTCAGCAATTACTGTGGCAAAATTATGGAGGACCTAGAGAGTCACTGAAAAAGAAAACTAACCATTTCAAATTTAAAATTTAAACCATGCAATTTAACATATCATTTGAAAAGAATTTTCTAATTGGACGTTTTAAAGTGAATTATTAATCCATTAATAAATACTGGATTTTGAAAATGTATTTTCCAACCTTACCTGTGAATGGAAATGTAGAAAGTACAATTTTTAAATCTGATTATTATTACCTTTCCTAATCACACATTTAAAAAGGTTATCCTCTTTTACATTTTCTTTCTCAACTTGCATTTTCAAATCCAGATTGAAATCTTTTCTTTTTGCTTACCAGTTAAACTATCTCACTGGTTAGGCTGCAACATTTGCTTAACAAAGTGACCAATGAGGCAGCTGGTTACACCTGAGGAGCAACTGTGATTGGTTAAACTGGTTTTCACTGTGCTCAAAGACCAGATTTAATAAAGAAAGTGGAAATGGAATAAGGAATAACCTTTTAATTAGTAAAAGGTATTTATGATCAGTTTTATGAAATTTGGTTTTTAACGCTCCATTTAACAATTTGATTTGAAAATACAATTCCTATTTAATAATTTATTTTAAAAATGTACAATTGGAAAATGCTTTTCGAATGCATGTTTAAATTTAAGATGGCTGGTTTTCTTTTTCAGTGACTTTCCAGGTCCTCCATACAGAATGTAATCACCAAATTGTCCACCAGCTTTCTCTCATTATGCAATTGTTGTTACAAGGTGATTTTAATGCGACTTAAGCTCAACATGATCAAATATGATCACAAAGCCATTTCAGAAATGACTATCAGGCGTCACCATCTCAGCTAGCTTTGTCCTTTTCTATGCATTTTAGTGTGACTATATGCTTCACATAATCTAAAAAAAAAAAACAATGACCTGCTTTTGTTTTGTGCATTCTTTATTTTACTGTTTGTACGACTGTGTTCACTTGCAGCTGCAGGACAAAAGATGAACTCTGGGAGATTTACACATGGTCGGACAGATGAGTACAGGTGAGAAAAGCAGTGCATATTTCAATGTTCGATCTTTTCTCTCTGATGGTTATTTTAAAGAAACAGGATGGATGAAGGAAACTAATAGAGGAATGATAGGTACCAAAAAAAAATAATCAAGAAAACATAATCAAAAATTAATAACTGAAGCTTGTGACGTGGCAGCATATTTTTCCTATTAAAAAAGATTTTCTTCCACCTGTCTGGATGTTAGCTAAAATACTAATGTAAACAGGATGCCAAAACATTTATTTGGGCATCTTTGCTGAATGGATAATGTTGCTGAGTTTTTAATACATTGCAGCTGGACTGGAGTCTGTTGTTCTGTTTCAAAGCTGTTTTTAATTAATATTGCATTGGTCAATGTTTGTAGACTATTGAATCATCAATTTTAGGTTTCTTTTACTTCTGGCAGTTGCCAATGACCTCAGTGTAGTTTAATTACCAGATAAGCTTAGGTTGTATGAGCATTAGCATGCACAGAGGCAGGGGAGGAAAGAAAAAAAGGTCACATAAAGCATGTCCTCCCCACTTTAGAAGGCACTTTAACTCATATTTTGGCTCCCAAAGGGACACATTAGCGTGCATTTTGGTTTATGTGAGAATTCAAATATATACCTAGGACTTGACTTACCAATGCCCTCTTCACCATGCAGTGGCCCACCTAAGGAACTAAGGAGGTTTTTCTTTTGTTACACTATGATGTATGAAATGCTGCCTAAAGGAAATCTGACTCATTGACTATGACTTAGGTAGACTATTATTAATACCTTTAGGATTTTAGATTAATAGTCGCTTAAATCAGGAAAATATAATATTTCCCTTTATGTGATTTTAAAATTTTAAACTAGTTAATCTTTTATTTATGCACTGATTTTCCATGTATCATTGTTTGACTCCAAATCTGGTCTGTAACTACTTGACTTTAAATGTCAAAGAATTGGAAATTTTATTCTAAAAGCTCGAGCCGGCATCAACAGGTCTAACAGGGCATGTCATCTGCACCTTTCTCTGGGTTTACAGAGATAACCTTTTCCCTACATAAGAAGAATCTGGACTGAACAGACAAAACAAGGCTAATTCGCTGTTGCCCTGGTTACTAATGCCAGGGTGTAATTGTGGGGTTTCAGACATTGTTCGATGTGCTCAGCTGATGGGGAGAAAGCTGCTAGTAAACCTCTTAGGGCCCTACCTAAGTCCTACTACAATACTCTCACTTATGGAGGATCAGCCTATGGTCCTCCTCCTCTAGCCTTTGCACATTCACATGGCTATCTCCTGCCTGCGATTACACACCAAATCTGGGTCCAAGTTGCCAACATTCCTCAGTCGACCCTGCTGCTCTGTTAAACTGAGCTGCATTCCTGCAGGACCACACAGGACAACGGAGGCGACATCAGCCTCCACATATACTTCTCATTCTGGTCCTACTTTATCATTTTTAACAGAAGCTGAAAGTGTGACTGAGAAGATTTGGCTAAAAACAACAAGTTTGTACTATTTCCAGCCGGCTGAGCAGAGAGGAGGCCTCTCACATCAAATGGTTGCAACCAGGTCAACTAAAACGGAGCTTTATTTCAATGGATCTTTCGTATGGGAAGCACTAAATCTCTTATTTTTTATATCTAAAATACAAAACGGATTCCCTAAGCCACTAGGAAGAGTCTTTGTTTTTGCTTCAAAATGGACCTTTTACCAGACAGTCCACGTTTACGGTCAGACAGCGCAAGCAGCTCTGCATCCCAGAGCTCCAGGTCGAAGACTGTCCTCCGCCAGCGCCTGTCCGAGCTGATGACCTGCATAGAGGACATGAGTTCTGATGACGAAGCCGGCGAGGAGGTGTCCCGTAAGCTGGATGAAGCCTTTCAGCTTTGTGGACAATTACTGCCCACAGATGCTTTCAGGTTGAAAAATTCACAAGCTTTTGCAGATATTAGTAAGACATAAGTTTGAATATAATATCAGCCTTCACAACAATGACTTTATATAAATATATACTAGCCAAAATAAACATTTAAAGAAAAGTTTACTATACTATATAATATATAAGAAAACAGTGAAAGATAATAGATTTTTGTACGGGTCTGTTCATCTCCTTTTTTGTTAAGATTATATTAAAAAGATAACTAGCTAGATTAATAATGAGTTAAAATATAAGTTTATTTATTAAAAAACATTTACAGACAAAACCATCACAAAATGCTGATAGATAGATAGATAGATAGATAGATAGATAGATAGATAGATAGATAGATAGATAGATAGATAGATAGATAGATAGATAGATAGATAGATAGATAGATAGATAGATAGATAGATAGATAGATAGATAGATAGATAGATAGATAGATAGATAGATAGATAGATAGATAGATAGATAGATATAACAACCATATAATCATACTTTACAGGCTGCACATGGTGACCTGGAATGTGGCTACAGCAGAACCTCCTGAGGACGTTACTGCGTTGCTGCAGCTAAATGATCAGTCTCCCATCGATCTCTATGTGATTGGGTAACAAATACAAAACAGAAAGATTTCTTTGTTTAGCAGAATTAATGACTCAGTCTTACTGATTGCTTTTAATTTTTACTGCTATGATTTAGCTTGCAGGAGGTTATGGCAACACCTATGAGATTCATCTCAGACCTGCTGGTGGAAGATTCCTGGAGCCATCTTTTCATGGACACACTGGGACCCAAAGGCTTTGTTAAGGTATAAATAAGGACCATTGAACTGTAGCAATAGATGCCTGTAAATAAAAATGTTCATTTATTTTAAGATTTTATGACTCTTTTCTACCTGAGTCTTCAATGTTGAGTGCATGTCGAGGTGCTTTCAGTAACAATTTTAAAATATATAGAACTTTATTTTGTACGTGTTATAAATGATTTAAACTTTCTTTTTATGCATAAAAGAAATAAGGAAAGACTGGAGATAATCCAAAACAAACAAAACCAATAACACCACTGTAAAACATGGTATTGGCAGCATTATGCTGTACACCCCTATAACTCCAAATTTAGCAAAAGAGGAATACATTACAGGAATGCATAAATGATGAAATATTTATGTTTCCATCTGTGTTTAGGTCACTTCTGTGAGGATGCAGGGCTTGCTTCTGTTGGTTTTTGCCAAAATGGTGCATCTCCCTTTCATCAGAAACATCCAGACCACCTACACCCGTACTGGCATCTTTGGCTACTGGGTATGGCATTAGTAAGAGGCCCTGATTAACCCTAAACGTTGTAGAGATCAACTCTAATCAGCGTTGGTATTCCAGAGACAAATAATAGGCCTTTTGTGTTTGTGAACTGAAAGTGTAACAGCTTGGGAAACAACAGAACACGAACATTTAACAAACACATGCATATTTAATTCAATTGAATTCAGTTTATTTATACAGCACCAATTCACATCACATGTCATCTCAAGACTATTTATAATTCACCAGATCATAAAGTCAAATTGATTCAAAGTTTTCTATCAAAGGAAAACCAATTGATTGCACCTACTCATTGATTTTAAGGCAATCGCTCACACTAAGCATGCTTGTAGCGACAGTGGAGTTTCCTTTAATAACCAGTAACATAGAACATAATTCTTGTATGTCTGTTTTTCTTTTTAATCTCAGGGTAACAAAGGTGCCGTGTCTGTACGCTTTTCCTTCTACGGTCACATGATCTGCTTCCTCAACTGCCACCTTGCAGCTCACATGCACAACGCCCTTCAACGCGTTGATGAGTTTGAGTACATTCTGGAAACACAAGACTTTGACATCTTTGACACTCCTCATGTTCTGGACCACAAGTCAGTGTTTCTCCGTGTAATCATACTTTCATCCAACCCAAAGCTTATAAACCAGAAGTGTCTGTGCAGACTGGAACATGTGAATCTAATGGTTCTTCCCAGGGTGGTTTTCTGGTTTGGTGATCTGAACTTCCGTATCCAGGACCATGGTTTGCATTTTGTCCGCTCATCCATCAACGGTGGGCGCCTCAATTTGCTGTGGAGTAAGGATCAGGTATGAACTTTGAGTGTTATACCTGGATAGTTAAAGGTGAAGAAAATCTGATTACTGTGTTGTTGTTTTCAGCTCATTATGATGAAGAAAAAGGAACCCTTTCTGCAGGAGTTTGATGAAGGGCCGCTGAATTTTAAACCCACCTACAAATTTGACCGTAAAGCTGACACATATGATATCAGGTACTGCGTCTTTGCTAACACACATACAGCATATCAGTAAGATTACCAACACATTTGACAAAATTTTCTTTTTTTTAACTGACTGCAGTTCTGTGAAGACATGGTTGGGTTTTAAGTAAGACACTCTTAATTTCTGTGTTGCATGCCCCGAATTTCGCTCCTTCTTTTAGCTACTCCCCTTTTGGCTAAAAAAAAATTAACAGTGGCTTTAACCGTGCACAGCATTTAGGACATTTCTTTTCTTCAGTATCCTCTGACACCACACCACCATGTGTCTGTCTTAGAACGAGCACTGTGGCACTGCCCCTAACCATGTACAGACCCAGGCCTCTGCAGCGATGCAGTACCACTCTCCTCTTCCTCCTCACCTCCCTCTTCTGGGGAGCGGTCTGTTTCTGGTTGGGGGCTTGGTATAGAGAATTAAACCCACCAAGGTGTGTGTCTCTATAGCTTTGCACTGTAAAAGAACATTTTCAATAATAATAATAAAATGTTTGAAGGTTATTTACAATCCTGTTTCGATCTACTAAATGCACAGTGCTTTTGAAGAGCATTAATACCCCTTGTTAGTTAACAACCACAAATTTCAATGCATTTTATTTAGATTTTATGTGAGATAATGTAGGTGCCCGTTCCATCCTTAGGAGCTACTATCCTTCCACTTAGATTTTATTTATATATTACAGAAGATGTTCTCCTCCTGTGTACCTGAAAAGCAGGATTTATTCTAAGATTAATTCTATTTTAATTGTAAATTTTTGACTAATTTCTAAAAGCAAACTTCAAATTTTTTTGTTTTGGTTTTATGAAGAAAATACAACTCCACAACAGAAATGAAAGAAGGCTCCAACACAGTGAAATCAAATCTAAACATGTTGGCAACCAAAAATAGATTTTTTTTCAACTGGTAAAAAAACTATTTTATCCTTTAAATCTTATTTACATTTGGGGCTTGGATGTGGTGGAAAAGTTTTTAATCAGCACTTAAGTCAACACAGTTTCCTGCCTCTTGGCAATGACAGAAAAATGGGTTACGCTTGTGCTTTGAAACATAACAACGTGTGGGGGTTGTTTTTTTGTTTCTAATCATGCTGAACAGACATTCTTGATATAGAGTAATGCTGTGGAATATGTGGCACAGTGTTACTATTTTTCTTTCTTTTATATATATCTATTATTAACTATCTTGCTGCATGCAAGGTTGCAAATCATATTTGCTACACTGCATCTCATTCAAGTATGCTTTACCATATAAAAGACGTATATGACTCCCAGGAAGCCATTTTTTACATAAACGTTTCTTATACTTTATTTACTGATTTATTCATGTTGTGTGGAAGCTTATTTAGATGCTGTCCTTGAGCAAATAATACATATACCATCTGAGCTTAATTGGTGGCATTAATAGTTTTCTGGGTATTTTATTTTATTAGGTATGTCCTTTCAAAATAAAGAGCAAATGACATTAAGAAGGGTTACTATATCTTACAATCACAAAATATATGCAAGCACCAGTTTAAAGGACAAAACTTGTTTAGATAAAATAATAATATAAATGGATTTCAGATGTCATCTGCAAATTTATTAGAGTGAACTTCTTTCTGCACTCTCTCTTTGTCTCTAAATAATGCATGCTTTGCTTTCAACACTGAAGGAATGTAGACATCTAGATTGTATTTTCAGTCACATGCTAGAATAGTAATCTTTGCACTGCATGTTGTTTTTTTTTCTGTTCAGCCATTTTTGGACCTGATTTAAATAACAGTAGAATGTACCTCAAGCTCACAATCACTCTTGTTTTGACTGTTTGCAGCGGCAAGAAGAGGAAGCCAGCCTGGACGGATCGGATCCTCTGGCGGATCAAACCCAAAAGTCTCCCATCAGAAGAGGATGATGATGGCGATGAGAAGGCATCGACTTCCACTGATAATGAGCACGATGAGTATCCGATCCTGATCACCCAGAACGCATACACCAGTGTGATGAGCTACGGAGTGAGTGACCACAAGCCGGTCATCGGAAACTTCACTCTTGAGGTGAGAACATAGGTGACACATACCTAACACCAGGAATAACATTTTAATAGAACCACCCCTTTTACTTTGTTATCCCTGCAGCTGAGGAAATATTTCGACACACAACTGGTACAAGTGGCACCAGAGGGCGAATGGAGCGCAGACCAAAATGCAGTTTTGACCTACACTGTCCAAGAGGACTTTATGTCTTCAACATGGGACTGGATTGGCCTCTACAAGGTACTGTTAGAAATGCGAGAAGGAAAACATCAGTTATTGCTTCAAGAGAGACTAGATACAGATGTGAACCGAATGGCTTGTTGACCTGCAGGTGGGATTCAAGAGTGCCTCTGACTACGAAACCTTTGTTTGGGTCAGAGAAAACGAACTTCCGGAGGTGAACGAGGTCATAGAGGTAAAGTGGGTTTAAGTTAGGTTTCATCAAAGTTGTGTGAATATCTTTGTAAGCATCCACTCCTGTTTTTGTTGCAGAGATCAGTGGATAAAGATGAGATCCCTCTGCTAAGCGGAGAGTATGTTTTGGGTTACTACAGCACAAACCTGAACAGCATCGTTGGCCTTAGTGACACCTTTAAAGTAAGGGTACCAAATTATACCAACCACAGCCAACACATAATATAAATACAACACAGACTTATTTATACTGAGGTTATTTAATATATTTATGCAAGAAAAATAGTTGGTTTTTAAAAAATGCTGATATTAAAAATTTGAAGTAGATTGTTTTCTTTGTCATTGCTGTATCAATACTGCAAGAGTCCAACGTGAACTTCCTGCACAAACAATTTACCCATACATGTATTGTATTTCCGCCAGTTTCAAATCTTTATAATGCAATTAAATTCAGTTTATTTATATAGCACCAACTCCCAACACGTCAACTGAAGGCACTTTACAGTTCAACCAGATCATACAGTCAAATTGATTCAGAGTTTTCTATCTAAGGAAAACTAATCGATTGTATCGACTCATTGACTCAAAGGCAATCCCTCCCACTAAGCATGCTTGTAGCGACATTGGAAAGGAAAAACTCCCTTTTAACAGGAAGAAACCTCCAGCACAACCAGGCTCAGTATGAGCGTCCATCGGCCAAGGAATTATCTTGAAAGGAGGAGATGCAGCTGACAAAATAAGCCTAGGTTGTATTTTTGAACATGAAGTAATTTTCAAAATCCTGGGCACTGTATATTTGAAATATCTGTTTAAATAAAACTACAGATATTAGTCTTTACATTATTTATGCATATTTTTAATGCTTTAATCTTCCAGAGTAAAATGAATTAAAGGTTGAACATCAGAAACACAGGATGATGTAGCAAACCAGTATCTAAATTTATCTAAATCAATATCCAACCAAAAAACTACTTCAGTATGAAGTCTGAAATCAATGATTGATCAGATTGTGCCCATCTATCAGCTCAGTCTGCTGTATGATGTAACATCTCTAAATCTAGCGTGTATAACTCTTGACAGTTTTGGTTTTGTCACAGGTAATAAAATTTTTTATTTTTGTATAAAGCATTTTTCAATGATTCACTACTTCTAAGGTGAAAATGAAAGGTTCCCTAAAATATAATTCAATAAAGTAAAGGGAGACAGTAAAGCAGAAGATTGGAATTTCTTAAACCGTTTAGGGAAAGCACCATCTTAAAACATATTAAGACATTTGAAGGTATCTGAACTGAAGTACGGAATGATTATATGTTTGCTGGATGAGTATTTAATAACAGTGGGTTAACTTATACATATATTTTTTTGTGTGTTTGTGTTTATTTGCAGATCCTGGAGTCAAAGCGTGCTGCTATGGAAGGTCTTGTACCCAAAGACATCAATGGGATCAACAATTAGAAGCAATCTCCCCACAGCGTGCCATTTTATTCTATGTCTCGACCATGATTTAACCTTCAAACTGCCCAGTCTCTTGATTTGATGGTTGGAAAACAAAGCAAAAAACGTGTATTTGTTGTTTTCCTAAAGATTCATTCTTCTAAAGCTGGATTTTTGGTCAAGAAAAAATATATAATAAAAATTGAACACATTTTAATGAATGACAATCGGATGTTTTGCTGGTCCTTTTAGGCTTCTAGGAGAAACATAAATAAATACATTAATGAACTTGGTGAACTTCAAAGCTTAAGTAAGATCATTGCTGTGGACATGTTCTGGCTCAGTTCAATAACTGTTGGAAAGGAGTTATTTTGGTCTAAATCCATGGTCTCTCATGTTTATACAAATCATGATTTTAAAGCGGTATAGTCATTTTTTTTTTTTTTATAATTTGTACACCAGCGCCTCACTATGGCTACATACAGTTTGTTTTGTTTTTTTGTTTTTTTTTCTGAAAGATCATTCTTTTGAAAGTCTAAAGTATTTTAGACTTTAGACAGATTTATTTTGTTATTTTGTACATGAAATTTCGCTTAAAACAGCTCTAGACAATTTCATTTTTTTGAAGTGCACCCTTGAAAACAGTCCTGTTGGCATATTTGTTTATGCTCAATTTGGTAGTAAATAAACATTCAAGTATATTTACAATAACAAAGGTGGTACGATATTGTGCTTGTGCTTAGGGGGTAAAAAAAAGAATCAGCACACAGTGGATTCAGCGCAGTAAGAAAGCTCAAGATTTTTATAATAAATAATGGTGCATACTAGACAGGCTATTATATTATGCTACAGCTAAGAAAAATTAAAAAGACTACTCAGGATCAGAGGTGGGTAGAGTATGAAAAATGTATTCTTCAGCAAGAGCACAACTACTTTATCATAATTTTACCCAAATAAAAGTAGCCTTGGTAAAAAGTATTTAGTAAAAAGGCTCATCAAGTACCGAGTAAGTGATCAGTTACTATCTGTAATCATTACATCTTGTTCAATATGTTACAAAATAATGTGAACTTAACAAACTATTTTGTGATATGCTACTTCTGTTGTTTCAGAGATTAAGATAGCACAGCTGCCTTATAGTAAGAAGGTTCCAGGTTCAATACTCAGCCCAGGGTCTTTCTGCATGGAGTTTGCATGTTCTCCGCATGCATGCACTGGTTTTCTTCAGGTACTCCAGCTTCCTCCAACAGTGCAAAAACATGACTGTTAGGTTTATTGGCTTCTCTAAATTCTCCTTAGGTGTGAGTGTGTTCGTGAATGGTTGTATGCGATGGACTGGCGACCTGTCCGGGGTGTACCCGGCCTCTTGCACATTGATATAGGCACCAGAACTCCTGGTGGAGAGTCCAAAGATGGAAAATACTATTTAAACTATTACCACAAAACAGAGATTGGTAAATATCTACAGAAGGGTCTCACTGAGCCTATTTAAACCAAATAAGGGCAACATTTCTTCCAGTGTGGGATGTTTTAACTTTTTCATCATTTAGAAACCAGTTTTGTTTATATATCCTTTGTTTCATAAGTAAAAAATGTTAATGCTCGTACAGCTGAGATACATTTGCAACTACAAATTAATAACTCTTTTCCAGAGATGAAAAGAAAAATATAACAATAAAATTTGACATGCAAATATTGACATTATTCAATTGAGGAAATAGTTTATGACAAGGTCTCTAAGTATTGATAACTATTCTTTAGGAAGAAGGGATCATGAATACCTTCTGGATCTAGAATTTACATTTAGTTTCTTAATATATTGTCCACAGTAAAGTAAACATTCTGCATTGAAACACTGAGGAGTTTAACTAACTTTAGCTAATCGTCACAACTGCACTCTGTAAATGGGTCAAAAGACCTTAGAAAATAATGATTGTCTCCTTAGGTCCTGTGACATTATTTTATCATTGCAGGAGTAAACTTAAAACACCTAAGATGGCTGGTAAGGAAACCATACCCAGTAAGTGCCATAAAAATAGAGAAACAGTGATTAAAAAAAAGCTAAATAAACTGTTTATCTGAATTTGAATAACTTTAAAGTATATAAAAGCACAGGATAGTATGGAGATATAATCAAGTAATCATCGAAGAAACAAAGGTAATTCCAAATTAGAGAGAAATTTAAACAGAACACATACATACACATACATATACATATGTATAAAATATTTTAAAACATGTAATAAGTAAAGGATTTTTTTTTATCATTTAAACTTGGAGAAAAAATTTTGTTTAAATAATTTCTGGAAAAATAAATTATTGCATTTACCTCCTGATGTATTTTTGTGTTTGTTTTATTTTAAAAAAGGAGGAAGCTGAAAGTTGCTTGCTATTATTATTATTATTATTATAATAATTATTATTATTATTATTATTATTATTATTATTTTATCATCATAGTTATTTAACTACGTTATTTAACTAGTTATTTAACTACGGAAGAGGATTAGGGCCACTGATTAACTGATTTGAAAAAGTCAGAAATATGACTTTTTTCTCAGAATACTAGTATTAAAGTCAGAAATCAGAGAAAAAAGCAAGAGATTAAAGTCAGAAATCTGTGATTAAATTCTGACTTTTTTCCCATATTAAGCTGAAATAAATTAAAAAATCAGTCAACTTTTTTTTTTTTCAGCGGCCCTAATCCTCTTCTGTAAATAACGTTACATTATATTCTCCCACAATTCATTGCGCTCCTGGAACTCCTCTTGACGTTCTGGTCCTTTAGCACATCTCTTCATTGGTAGACTCTTTGGCAATAAACACGTGGAGACATCATACCGACCGCCAAGCTAAAGGTAAGGATTTATGTTGTTTATAAAGCAGTCACATGTAATATAAATCCAGCCCCATTGGTTAAACTAACTTTGGATTTTATTCTGGTCAGTGATTAGTGTCAAAAAAAGAGGCTTCATTATGCTAAAAGTGTTAGCTAATGAGTGCTAGCTGAGTTAGCAGCAAATGTTATGGATTCCGATACTAAAAAGAAAATAACCTGATCGACTAGCTTTATTTGTCACATTTATCTGGATTCAGATAAAAGTTATTCTTCATAATTAAGGCTGTAATTGTAAAGGCGATTCCGTATTTCTGATCAGCTTAGTAAAGAGCACCATAGAAAACATAGACATTTATTTCTTTAACGTTTATTTGACTCCAGGCACGTTTCATTATATTAACTTGATTTCTGCACCAATTTATTTTTATTTTTCCTTAATACGTGGTTGTGTTTAGCTTCTCTTGACGTGAAACTGCTGCTTTTTTGGGGTTGTTCTTATAGTATTTCTTAAAGCGCCTCTCCCCTGTGCAGGTAGAAACAGCATCTTGTTGGATCTGGGATTGAACTGGACACAAGATGATGAGTGAAGATATGGAGCGGCTGCTGATCCAGTTTCAGGATGAGAATGGAGAGGTTCTGGGTTCTCCTTTTGATGTGCCTCTTGACATCACCCCAGAAAAACTGCAGCTAGTCTGCAATGCGCTGCTGCAAAAGGTAACTTTTTCTAAATCAATGTAAACACACTGTTTCATGTTAAAGAACTGTCATGGTCCTACACAAACCAACATGAGAAATGTAGGTCCATTGCAGGTTTCTGTTCTCCCCCCTAAAAAAAAAAAGTCACATTTATAGAAATACATGTTTTTGTAGAAGTATAAAAATCAAAAAGTGTCTTAGCACTGATTGTCATCAGGACTTTGTTAGGGACATTCTGTCACATGAATGCGCTTTGATCTAGGGCTGAAGCGATTAATCGATTATTGAAATAATCGTCAACTAGTTAAGTAATCAGTTAAGCCGGGCTTACGCTGCGATTTTTTTTTTCACTTGTTGCATGCAGCTGCTGCTCACACTGTATGGCCAAACCGCAGGGTTTAGTCATACAGTGTGAGTTCATAGCTCACGATTTATGTTCCGCCCAACGCTCTGATGTGATCTACCTGCTCACACTAAAAACCACATCGCACTCAGCTCCGCAGTGAGATGGCGCTGCTCTGACTCATCTATCCGGGAGGCAAACAAATATAAAGGGAATTTTAAACTCACTAGAGAGAAACGTGCTGCCCTGGCAATTTGTGCAATTTTGTGCTGAGGGTCCTAGAAAGAAAGGGCGACGTATTTGGACGAAGACATGGCTGAGCAAACGTTGCTCCTCCATTTCACTCATTGCACCCCTGCCATGCTTTTTTTGTTTATATCTGAGAGGAAGAAGAAAAAGAAGAATCCTTGTTTGCGCACTGAGCGATTTGCCCATGACGGCCCGATAGAAAAATTCTCGCGTGACTGGAAAATCGCCCCAAAAATCACAGTGTATGCCGGGCTTTAATCGTTAAATGGAGTATAGAAACTGTAAAACATGCCTTTAGTTGTCAGAGCAATCCTCCTGGAGCAGTAAGTATATCAGAATTGTAAAAAAAAAAAATAAAAAAGTGGGTCAACATTTTGAATTTTAGACATTTCGTCTGTGAATATGCTCCATCCAGAACTTCTCAAGTGGAAACGTTTTAGTTTCCCCTGGTTTAATTTTGTAAAAAGTCTTCTTTAGAGAACCTTTTGCTGCCGATTAATTGATTAATCGAAAAAATAATCAACAGATTAATTGATTTAAAAAATAATCATTAGTTGGAGCCCTACTTTGATCTACAGCACAAGTGTCAAACTCAAGGCCTGTAGATTAATCTGATCCATCAAGGCGTAGATCGGGCCCCGTATCACCCAAAAAAAGAGATAATGTGGTAAAGTTAAGGAATATGTTCTTTAAAGTGTACCAATGGGCTATAACTGCCAAATAAATAAAAGCGAAGTCATAATAGCAATAGTGTGGTATTTTTAGAGGAAATAATGAAATGGAAAACTTTTATTTAAACAGCTTATACTTAAAGTCATACTGCAAAGTGAACCAATTCTATCTCAAGTCTTTAGCAGCATGTAACAGATTTTCCTCCAGGATTATCGTGTATTTAGCTCCATTCATCTCCCATCTTTCACACTGGGGCCAGTACGTTAAGGATGATGTGTAGTGTTGGTTTGCTGTAACACATGGTAGTTTAAACAGACTGAAGCCTTTTCCTCATGGCAAACAGGACTTATTTTTTGTTTTCCATTCTTTCTTTCTTAATGGTGTTTGCCAATGCAGCTCCTCCAGAGTAACCATGGCCCTCGTGGTCA